GCATCCGAATCATCTCCGAATCCGAATCATGATCTGAAGCTTTGCACAGCACTACTGTCTACCCAACTAGTCAACCCAGAAGCCCAGACTTTCTCTATATTATTTGTGCTTTTTTTTTAAAGATGGAGAATGTTCTATCTAGTTCAGTGTTGCCATAAAACTTTAAGTCTCTGCAGTTTGTTTCCATTTGAAATCCCTCAAGCCTTCAAAAATAAACTTTTCCAGAACCAAACAGGTTCACTCTGTAACCACTATTATGCTCCAGGACAGCAAAGAACGTTTGCAGCCACCAGTCTGAAATCCTACGGCATTTGCATTTCTTTTGGATGATGATGGTGCTGATGATGCTTACCAACCTTTCAATTTTAGTGTAAATAGGGGCTTTTTACCTAAGCTAATGGTTTTTGTCCTTCTAAACTCTAGGCATCCCTCAGAAAATGCCAGCTCTTAGCTTTCACTCATTTCTTGACTAGGGAAAAAAAACAGAGCAATTCTTTTGTTCGGAAAGACCACAACAGCTCAAAATGGTTTGGACACTCTGGGTTCCTATTTGAAATCTCTGGAATTAACTTGTGAACCATTGTAGCGGCATTTTCACACCTAACATGGCCATAGCACCCTGGTGAAGTGTCACTTATCTAAGCATTTAGGAAACATGGATTGCTTGAGCTCAATAAGCATCTTTGTGACTGCTGTAGGTCCTTGTCACCCTCCTCGTGGGCTGCAGGATACTGCTGTACAAGAAGGAAAATGTTGTGTCCAAGAGAGCAAGTCAGAGCACAGAGCTGCCACAGCAAGTCAGGAGCAGAGCTGGGAACCAAACGTATCTCCTGACTCTCAGTCTAGGCTTCAAATGCCAGATCACACTCTCGTCCCTAGAGGAAGGAAGTCATGTATATAAAAATGTTGGCAAAACCCCTGGTACCTACCTTACCTTCTGAAGCAAAGTAGATCAACTATACACTGTTGCTTTACCATTAATATGACATCACTAATGGAGCAGGGGGAAGGAAAAGTAACTTGTAAACGTGAGGATAAATGAAGTGTCAGGGGTTCATTAACATCCAAGCATCAAAAACAAGACTTTGGTTCATAAAACCTAATCTAAAAGATTGCATACCTAGATAATTCAAAAGCATGAGGCTCTCAGCTGGGGTGGGGGAGGTCACGCAAATATTAGATGACCACCTGGTCCTTTTTTTAAGCATGTCTTTTATTTGATTATCAGATTTTTTAAAACCTGTTTTCAGATCACCCAGAATGTTGCATGTTGCCATTTTGTATTGTAGTGCAATGCTGTGGCCTTGGTCACCTTACTGAAACCATCCTAGAAGGACCCAAGGCTCAGCACTGCATACATGGACATATTTTTGGCTGCCAGATCCCAACCAACAGCCAATACTGGTGTTTTTTCTTAAAGAAATATTAGAATGATGGCAAGAACCCCATGGTCAATTATGTTGGGGCATTAGGGTGACCACCCCTCCATTACATCAAGTCCTGGTCCCGAGCTGAATGACTCCAGGACAGCATTTATCTTGGATTCCCCTGCACACAGTCAACTATTGTCCCAGTATGTGCTGGAATCCCTGTTTTCTGCTCACCGTGAGAAAACTGTGGGAAACTGCAGGTTTCCCCTTGCAGGCTGGCAGGGTTCCTGCCTGCAAAGGGGGGGGGGGTGAGGGGAGTGGGACACAGCGGGCACTATCTGCATGTGTGCGTGTGCACAAATGCACATGGTCAGGAACACAGCCCCAGGCAGAGGTGGATAGCAGCTCCCCCAGCTGATAAATCTGGTGGGGAAGAGGAGCATAGGTGACAGAGGGCAGATAGAGGTGAGGGAGGGAGTGGGGCAGGGTTGGTGGCTGGAGCTGGGGGTGTTGTCTAGCCAGCATGGGGCTTGGGGCCAGGATGGGAATGTGCAGCCATGGGGCCTGGCCAGGGAGTGGGGCAGAGCCACAGGCAGCTCGTCCAAGGGGGAGTGTGTCCTGCTTTTGCCTTGTGAAAAGGCAGTTACCCCACGTGTACAGCAGTATCCTGCAGCCCACAAGGAGGGTGACAAGGGCCTACAGCAGTCATAAAGATGCTTACTGAGCTCAAGCATGTCCAAGACATGCAGGACTTGATGGATCAAGGCCTTGATTCATCAGTCCATCTCTTCAGCAAATTATATGCCGAAGTTTACATCTACATTTAAGTCGTTGGCTTCCATGGGCATGAGTGGATGTTCAGAATTAAATGTATGCAGAAATGCTTGGCGGAAGCAAGGCCTAGATGGACTTCTGTTCTGGCTTGGCAGAAAAGCAGGTTTTCACAGAAGCACGTTCTCCATTTGCATTCAGCTTTATGAGCTTGGTTCAAGGCCCATTAAAAGTCCACGGGATGCTGCCCAGTGACTTCATTCCATGTCATGTTAGGCCCTGCCATTTTGATATGGGTTTGTCTTTGTTTCCTAAAGATTTCCCATGGCAAAAAAAGAAAAAGAAAATGAACCCCGGAGAATGTTTCTGCTTTGGACCAAACCCCGACACTAGCAGGAAGTAACAGAGGTGATCTGAATGCGATGGGACCTCATAAATTGTGTGTGGGAAAGGTTCCCCTTCCTTTCCTCTAACTGATGACGTGCCAAGTTTATTCTCCAGTATTTACAGTGAGATTTGTTTGTTTTGATACCCTTTACATGTTATCAGGGAAAAGACAAAGAAGAGCCCCAGGAAGTTTATACTTTGTGATGAGGCCAGTAAAATTTAGGCTTTAATTTTCTTTCTAGTCCTATATGTTTTCATTGAAACTTAATATATTAAGGGGATGTGAGATTGCAATCAAAGCAGTTACTGCTCTAGCTGTCGCTTATTTTTATGTATGAATTTAGTGCTAATGAAAGGTACCAGACTAACAACCTTGGGGTTGAAATCCTTGGCTTATTCACTGATCAAGGAAGACTAGCACAAGTTTTTTTTCATAATGCTTCTTGTCTCTGATCCAAAGAGATCACCTCTGGAGCCAGAAGGGAGTCAGTCTCTGTGGCCCAGGCAGTCCTTGGATGAGACTGATAATGACGGGGATCTATGAATGGAGTCCAAATAGCCTTGCTCTAAGAAAGGTAGCTTCAAGGCAGAGAGAAAAGAAATGGGAGACCTCAAGAGAGAGGCCCAGGATGATATTTCCCAAATTATTTCATTGGAAGGAATATATAAGGAATCTTTGAACACTCAAAGCCACAACGGCCGTGTCCAGATGAGCACATCCATGCAGTATGTGGCACCGCAGACACGTCCGCGGTGTCACATACGACACATTCAGCTGTTCTCCATGCTGCAAGGGAGCAATGCCGGGAAGGGAAGGGGGTGTTGACCCCTGGATATCCAGGGGTCCAAAAACCCCATGCAAAAAAAAAGGTGAAGTGGCGCACACGGGGGCATTGTGCAGTGCTCAAAAGTTGGGTCTGGCTGGCCAGAGCCACACTGCAGCTGCCGGCCAGGCTCCAAGTGGCAGCCTGCGAAGGCCCCCAGATAAGGCTGCTGGGGCCAGCCCAGTGCTGGACCCAACCCTTGAACATGCTGTAGCATGAGACTGGAGGAGGACAAAAATGGAAAAAAGGGTACAATTTGTGTAATATGCCAAATATCATCCAGTTGGCACTAGATTCAGGTGTTCTTTGCCTACTTGCTTCCTAATTTTCACTAATATATTTAGGTGGACACAGGGCAACTGTTCTAAGCTGGGAAGGGCTGTTAGCTAGCAGCTGTCATGTTTTTGAGTCTTTGAGCAGGAAAAATGACTGACATTTACTCCTAAAGAGCTTGCTCTCCTTGCTGTTCCCTCCTGAGCTAAAGTGTACCACCTTTGCCTTCCTCACAAGGTTTTTAATTCTAGTTTTACTTCAGATGCTTTTGAATTTTTCTTGCAATAAACGTGACATTAGCTAATTTGCACAAGACAGGATCTGGTAGCAGGGGGTCCTCTTTCAAGTGGCAAGGTAATAAGTGTAAGTGGATATTCCATGATTCCCAAATTTTTGAGAACTAGGTTAACCCCAGATGTTGAGGTACAAACAGTAATTTTGAAACCAGAGTACATTTCACCCAACATCAACCGGCAGCTTCTTAACTCCTGCATCTTTACTAACAGTATTCTTAATGCTTAGCACATATATGTCACGTTTCTCTCGTTTGACCAGCTCATGCTTACAACACCCTGGGATTCCTTCAGTGTTTCTCTCATTGACCCATCAATCCTTGCAACACCCTGGGATTATTAGTACCACTTTCCAAATGGGGAATCCAGTGCAGTAAGTGGTCAAATGACATGGCCAAGGCTGCACCACAGGTACCTTCTCAGGCAGCATTTGCTTTCTGAAGTGTTTTTGGATCTGTTAGGATGAACAGACAGCTGGCTGCCTGTCGTTCTTAATTTTTTATAACCGGCTGGATAGATATCTTCCAGGAATAGTTTAGGTTGAGCTTACCCTGCCTTGGGACAGGAGAATGAAGTTGATGACCTCTTAAGACCCCTTCCAGTCTTACGTTTTATCGTTCTGTGATTATAAGACAAGTCAGCAACCACCTTTTTTGAGGAGTGGAACAATATTGCCCAGCAGCTCTGACATTTTATATAGCATTTCCAGATGTTCTGGTTCCCATTTGCTTGTACCCTTTCACACAGGCTTTTTTGGATGAGTATAGAAGGAGGATGGTCATGTCTCCGGGGAGACGGTGCTGAATTCGCAAGTACATATGATCTCATTCTCTGATGTATTCATGTAGTGTCTATGCACTCAGCAGGAATGATAAGTGCACTTGCTAAATTAATTCTAAAAATTATTGGCTGATATTTTTCAAGCCACCTCAAAGATCTGAAAATCCAGATCGTTTCTTGTTCATGCCTCTTAGTCTCTTGAAAAATGTACCTTTACTGCACTGACCAATGTAATCTCCTTGTTTGACAGCAAATGTAATTATAGATATTAGTATGCATTCACTGTGTTTTCTTCTGTCTAGCACTTGAAAGATGACCGGAGCGATGAAGAAGAGGAAGACTCCCTCTCTGATATTGAAGAGGAGCGTGTGAAGAATGGCAGCAAAAATGGCTGTGGGCTAAGGAAGAGTTGCTACCTGAACAACAATACTCATTAGACCCACACCTGCATCACATCCTGCAGTATCACTTGTCATGTCCCAAATCCAACCTACAGTACAGAAAGGAAAGTCAACACCCTATGAGAGTCCAAGATTGATTTATTGCTAGTTACTAGACCTGGAAAGAAGCCCAGTGTAAAGCAGGTGGCGGTGAGAGATTTGCTTAATAAGACAAAATGCATTAATGGCCTACTTTCTTGAGTCACTGCATATTAGTGTGTGAAAAACATATCTCAAATGTGCTAATCATTCCACTCTTAAAATGCTCAAGGATTTCAGTGCTCGTAGAGCAAGTGAAGTCTAATTGGCTCTAGCGTAGTTTGCAAGTCTGGCAGAAATAGGGCAGTTTTCCCAAAAGCCTTTAATGTTCTTTCCACATAAGTTTGGAAGTGTGGAGTTAATATGAGTTCTACTAAAAATCAGAATTGCTTTGTTTAAGAAAGATGTGGCATCAGGATGCATTAACAGGCATGTTAATCATCTGATTTGAGTTCAAGCATTTAGCGCTGGCTGCTACCCATGAATCAGAGCATACTTCTTGATGGCTGGTCCAAGCTAGCATTGAGTCACTGGAGTTGTTGGTGCTTCCATGAATCATTTGCTTCACTAAGAACCAAGGAGTTTAACCCCCCCACTCAAAGGCTGCGTCTACATAGCACATGGCAGTGTTGTGCATAGATACCCAAGTTAGCTCTGAACAAGTTGGGCCACTCACATGGTCGGGGGCCTCTGTGGCCAGCCCTATGAGGAGAGGCTGAGGGAACTGAATCTCTTCGGTCTCCGCAAGAGGAGACTGAGGGGGGATCTTGTGGCTGCCTACAACCTTATCAGGGGCCAGCAGCAGGGACTTGGGGAAAGTCTGTTCACCAGGGCCCCCCTTGGAGTCACCAGGAACAATGGCCACAAGCTGAGGGAGGAGAGGTTTAGGTTGGATATTAGGAAGAACTACTTCACGGTAAGGGTGGCCAGAGCCTGGAATAGGCTCCCCAGAGAAGTGGTGCTCTCACCTTCCCTGGAAATCTTCAAAAGGAGACTGGATAGGCACCTGGCTGGGGTCTTATGACCTGTCCCACCCCCGGTGCTCCTTCCTGCCCGTGGCAGGGGGTCGGACTCGATGTCTGTCTAGGTCCCTCCCGACTCATTGATTCTAAGTTACCCTGGGCGCTGAAAGCACAATAGCTGGGTTAACATGGTGTTACTTTTCAACAGGACTAACTAGTTGGTTCAAAGATCTCATCACAGCACTACCTTGTGCATGTGGATATACTCAAGTTGGCATTATCTCATGCAGACAATCACTCCAGCCTTTGCCTATCTTAAATCTTTTGTTTTCTGGGTTTTTTGAGTTGGGGGAAGGGAGGGTTAAAGAAAGTACTAGTGAAGAAAAAACAGCCAACACCCATCTTCCATCAGGCCCTAGATTCCATAGGTTTCTTTAACTGCAGCCACTCTGGGCTTATGCCTGATTATAGAACTGGAGTCCTCATTGGTGGGGCATAGGGGATGATTTCCCGGCAACGGGCTAATTCTTGTAAGTTTATCAGAAAGTGCAGAATTCAACAGCTTATGTGGCTAATGAGGCCTTGCACAGAGTGAGCCCTTTACAACTGCTGGCTGCAGGCCACTTTTCAAATGAGGTTTCAGCTGTGTTTGATCCATCAAGGCCAAAATGATTTGGGCTTCAGCTTTTGAAGGGAGCGTCTGCTCAAGAGATCCGGCAGGCGGCAAGGTCATCTGATGCACTCCATCATCTGGCAAAGACAAGAACAGCCATCAGCAGAGTGGCCTGAGTTAGTGACCTTTGCCTTTGAAACCTGCCTTCTTCCCCCCTCATCTGAATCTCAGGACCTGTTTGCTTTGGTTTCTTCTGGAAGAGGGGAGGCGTGATGAAGGGCTGGAGGATTTCCTGGGATGGGAAACAATGCTGGGGACCTGGGCTGTGAAGCAGAATGTGTTTTGTGTAGTTGTCATAAGTGACGGGAGTGTGCTCTTATGAGGTGGAAATGTGCAGGTGTCTGCCTATGACCTTTGACTGATTTAAACTGTACTGTGTTGGTTCTTTTTGTACAGTGCCATGTGCAATGGATGATGCTTTACTATAAATAAATTAATACAATGACACCAGGACAGGAATCTGGCATAGCACGTTTTGATAAAATGCTGGACGTATGCAAGAAAATACACTTGTGGTTGGGAGAGCCAGCACTGCCTTCTGGGCTCACCAAGCAGGCAGCACTGCTTGGAAATAGAAGGTAATGCAGCAGATAATGCTGCAGAGAGCGCAGGAAGTTGCATTGTATTGCTTTATCAAATACTGCAGTATAGATTTATTCTAACTCCAAGGACTTCTTAAATCCCCAGAGGCAGCTTTTTCAGGCCCATTGCTGCTTAAAGAAGTTTAACTATAAACATTTAAATGAGGCAAAATTGGCCTTTCTGAGCCCGCTGTGAATAAAAGAAACCCCCAAACAGGTTATATATACTCCTTTATAAGAGCAATGGAGACAGTAATATCTTCTGCAAGATGCTGATTGGTTCTGGGAGATAGACAATACATATCTTTTAAATTTTGATTCCAGAAAATGTTCCTACCATGAAAAGAGAAATTCATAAAAGAGAAGAAAGAATGATAGGGTCTTTAGAGAAGTGATCCTTTGAATAGTTGATGAGCTTTAAGCTTGAATTTACAATGCAGATGAGCTTGGTTGAAACTCCATTGGAGTTGGTCGAAGGCCATGGGAAATTTGCCTGATTTAAGGTTCTGGACTGCATATCTTGCCAAGTGCTGTTGAGAGGGTTTCCAAAATACTTGTTCTGGGTCTGGTACCATTCAATACTTTCATTACTGACTTGGATGATGGAACAGAAAGTAGATATATCAAATTTGCAGGTGATACAGAGTTGAAGGAGGTTGTCAGCACGTTGTTAGACAGGACTACATTCAAAATGAGCTCAACATTTGGGAAATGGTCTGAAATGAAGAGGATGCAATGCAAAAAGGTCTACAAACTCTTAGATTTTAGTAGGCAAATATTTTCAAATACAAGACAGGGAGTCTTGTATTTGCTGGGTAGCTGCGATACGGGAAGAGGTTGGGGTAGAGTGGACCACAAATCTGAACCTTAGCTACCAGAGTCATGTTGCCAGAAAAGAGCAAACCCCGTAGTGGAATATCGTGATGGGGTTTGCAAATCCAACACATGGGAAGTGTGGGAGAGAGAGCCTCAAGGGACATGTAGGGGAGGTCACTTTAAGATTCAGCTGCTTGATGGCTGCTGGCTCTACTCATCCTTGGGTTATAAGCACTGTGAACCGGGAAGGGGAGAGTCCGTTCCAGCTGAGAAGTTAAAGGAAGCATCTGGACCAGAGCTGGACACTACAGTTCCTGATGGGGAATGAGGTTCCTGGGAAGAAGCTGGAGATGCGACTACTGCAAATAGAAACAGAGATGCCTGCAAAGGTGGTAAGGAATGTGGACTTTGAGTAGTGTTATGAACTTAATATCAAGTACCCAACTAGCCCTCAATGCTTAGCATAGCCCTGAGTAAGAACTCAGTAGAGCAGGGAGGGACCAAGCCAGCTCAACTTCTTTGGTGCTAAAAGGAAACGGCAGCTTTGCTATGGAGTGGCATGCTGGTCGGTGGTACAGTTTGGTGGGACTGAGAACTCCTGGGTTGGGCAGGGGCCTCAGGGGAAAGCACTGAACAATTTTCCATACATAGGCTCACAACATGACTTGAGGGTTAGGAAGAAGGGAGACCCTGCCATTCCTCTATGCAGTTATAATAGTCTTCAAACATACAAGAGGTTGCTACAAAGAGGAAGGAATGAGATCTGTTCTCCGTGATACAACCTTAAAGAGCACAAAGTACGACAACGCTGCCTGTTCTCTGAGACCACGCTCCTGTTTATCAGCAACCTCTCTGTGTCTATGGAAAAGTGCCTAACAATCCAGCATGTTCCCTTGGGGTTGGGAACTTCATGGCAGACTTCTGCCTCCATCCAACATCTTCTTCCAATTGCTTCACCAGGCCTTGCCACCCTGCATCTCTGTCCCGGCCTGGCATAAGACAACTAGGAGTCCCTGCAAATACCATCCCATCCAACACATTTTTCCAGTTTCATATCTAGGCTCCTCTCCACATCTCCCTTTTGTACTTTAGTTTTTGTTGTGCCTGATATAAGGACCACTTATGATGCTACATGTACTTGAGACCTACAACACCACATCTAAGCATTATAGTCACTATGTAGTGAGCTGCTTCTTATAGGAGTGTTCACAGTCACTAGAGTGGCTGCCACCAAAAATGTAATGATTTTCCATAGTGTTATCTGAGATACTACAGTTATTTGCTATTTAAGGGACAAAGTAATCTTATGGTTTGTCAGGCTTCAGATAAACTGCAGAGACGGATCATCAGCCCATGCCATTCGCTGTGTTCCACCAAAATCGGAAGAATTATGGCGGTATCGTTCTTATTTGTTCTCTCCCCACCACCAGAAAGATCACGCGGGCTCCGTGCAGCCTTCCCTTCGAACAAGCTGGTTCTTTGCAAGCAAATGGGAAATGAGACCTGGCAACTCAAGTGATGAGCTGAGGCAGATTCTTTCGGGGCATTCGTTTTTGGAAAAGCGATGACTAACAGTCAAGAAAGCTAGAAAACAAATGAATGGGAACGTGTGAGTTTTGGCTACGAGCAAGTTGCAAACTGTGAAAGAGGGGAACACGTTTTGCTGATTTTGAAAGAAAAACATGGTCTCCACAGGCACCTTTCCCCAGCTGTGGGCTCTTAGAACAACAGACAGATGGCTGACGGAAATGAATGCCGGCCCTGAGGATAGGAGCATAACCTGGATGTGAACTAAGAAAGGGACAACCTGATGATTTAGTCACCCAAAACTCTACAGAGGAACCGTGGAGCGAGTCCCATATGGTGGCTGTTCTTCTGTCCTGTTTTGAAATTGCTGAACCTGTCACCCTCCTCCCATGATAAGCTAGGCCTGTTAAGCCCAGGTCATTTAATATAAGAAAGGGCCCCCGTCTTTAGCAGCCTGGCTTGGCTGTTGCCTGGGCACTCAGGATCTATAGGAGGATTTTCATGAACATTTAGCGGTGGCTTCACTCTGCTCCCAGCAAAGCTGGGAATTTTCCCATCAGCTCAGGTGAGAGCAGAATTAGCCACCACTAGGCACTTTGGAAACCTTGCTAACACACCTTGCTTGCTATGTTTCCTTGAAAGCTGTGGTCACCCCTGGATCCACTTGGGTAAGGCTATGACCCAGCCTGGGTCAAGAGGGTTCCCCAGTCCATGGTCCATTCTGCTACCCTCCACCGTACAGACTTGGCTACAAAAAGAGCAGCTGTGCCAGTACCCATCACTGAGGTCTTCCTTGATTGATCTTTTTTTTTATTGCTCCCACTGACAGTGACCCCCACTCAGACCCCATTTTCTTCTAGATTCCCAGCTCAGTTTCCCCTGTGGGGCTTCTCCAAGGCCCTCCTGTGCACATGACCCTTGTGCCTTCAAAGTGTTACTGGGATGAGCTGATGCGGTCAGTTGTATATGACAAAATACAGTGAGAGAGAGCTGAACTGGGGAGAGGACACTGCAGGATCCCAGCTGTGCACATTGCACGGGATGTCTGATCCCACCTACACACATGCTTGGCACACATCTGCTGCTCCCCAGTACACATA